AACCTACAAAGTAAAACAGGAAACACACAGACTGTTTTACACAACCAACTGGGGACACGAACAGAACACAGAGGAGAGACACAGGTAGGGATGATGGAAACACACAACCCTAAGAACAAATACGAAATCAGAATAAACTAGAAAAATGATAATAACAAACTCAAAGCGCTGGGTCACCGACCCAGGACCATGACAGAGAGATTATAAAGGAATTTTGGAGTTAGCCAAGGGCTTATCCAGCTTATCCTCTTTATAAAATTCTACCGTCAACTTCTACTGTAAACTGTATACTGCAGACTTTATAAAAGAAATTTCTTATTTAAATTAACCATGCTGCAAGCACGTCTGCAGGAACGTGAATTACATTAGATGCAAATTGGTTAGTCACAAATCATATGAGAAAATGAACACATGCACTAAAGGTGTTTCTTTCAAAATAAAAGTCTTCTTAGTCTTCTTACAGAGGATAAAGACATCCATTATGTGACGGCACTGGATACAGGTTACACATTAAAAATCTGCGCACTGGCTGAATGCAGGTTTCTCTAGAGTAGCTGTTTTAAGATGGCTATAAAATTCCTTGTTTTCAATACATTTCTACCATATTTGGGTTTAATGAAAATCCTTCAACAATGTAATTATGTAATTAATTATTTCTATTGTCCACTTTCTAGATCAAGAATTTATCTTAAGATAGAGAAACTGAATGGTTTGTTTTTCTTTTTTAAAGTGTATTTGTTTTAACTGAAAAGCCTTCAGTAGCCCCTTTAATTCTAGACACCCGTAGTTGAACAATATTGTTTTAACAATGTCAGACAATTCTAGTTATTACACAGTTTGAACCCCTGTCCCCTCTATATTATTATTAAATGTTCTTTCCAAAAAGAGCATGCAGTTATCTCATTTTACAAAAGAAAACAAAAAGGCGGACAAACCCAAGTTTCGGGTCTATTTATAACACCTAGAGAAAATCCCCTGAGGTGGAGTTAGCCATGTGTTTATGCAACACCTGCCAATATAATTCTGCCCAATGTTCAGTTTACGCATTCAGCTGCGGACGCTTATATCATTAAGCTGTAAACAGAATCCATTCACCAGGTGAGTATTTTACATTTAAGTAATTTTACTTTAGAATGAACCTTAGAATACCATAAGAATTTAATTCTGAACACTAATTACTGCATATGCATTTAAACATTGGAAACCATCCTAAAGGTGATGCTGTAAAAAGTATCTAAATATCAAAAGAACTTTTATTTGTTTTTATTTTTGCAGTTTTCTCTCTCTCTGTGTGATAGATAGACTGGTGGTCTGTGCAGAGTGTACCCTGTTTCCCTCCCTCTGACAGCTCAGATAGGCTCCAGTTAGAAAAGCCGTTAAAAAATGGAGGGATAGATGGTTCCAGATCATGTTAGAGGAATGAAGTTTGCATTATTAGAAACAATATCTCTTCAGGTTTTTAATGCTGTGGTTGAACACAGGATGAAGAAGCAGCTCATCATTGATGTGGACACTGGGGTGGATGACGCTATGGCCATCATGGTGGCCCTCGCCAACCCTGATGTGGAGATTTTGGGGATCACCTGCTGCCATGGCAACACACCCCTGGAGAATGTCCTCAAGAACACGCTGCGTGTCCTGAAAGTCTGCAATAGGCTGGATGTAAGTTTTGAGCAGAGTGTGGGAGAGCCTTATACATGGATATGGTGACAGATCTGACTGCATGGCTGCATGCTGGATGACCTGCTATTAAATGCAACCTACAATACAGATTCCAGTGTATCGTGGCTGCTCAAAGCCTCTGCTGGCCCGCAAACAGCATGCGGGTGATTACCACGGGAAAGACGGGCTGGGGGATGTCCCGGATCCAGATGCTCCAGGCTTGGATCTGCTGCAGAAGAAGAAAGCTGTGCAGGCCATGATCAAGCTTGTGAATGACAATGCTGGAGAGGTGAGTGCTCTGTTAAACATGTTGCTAATGTACTGTAAATAAAATGTGTATGCATGTATTCTATGTATACCAGAATTATTATAGTTTTTGGATTCTCTTTATTTATTTTAATTTTTGTTTTTAATTCAGTTTAGTTCGGCTTAGTTTCTAGAATGGATTTGCTCATTTCATTTCAGTTGTTATTAAGTTTTATGTATCTAAAACACAACTCAATGACAACATTGTTTCACTACATGTGCCTTGAATTTAGGATTTTCTGGAAATGGTTTATTTATTTTAAAAAAAAAGGTAAACATAAAGGTTTACTCTATGTAAATGATTTTCACTAAAAAAGTAAATTTCTAGATAAAAAACC